ACAGAAGAGAAAGACAAAGAGCAAGTTATAAGTTGAGAATATCTTTGTTGTCGTTTTTGCTATTCTGGGCATAGCTTATGGTTTCCTTGCAGCCACATGGCCATCCAAAGAATCTGGCAGAGACACTACCACATCCTCACCAAGAGGGAACTCACAAAGGTATGGAGTCTTCAATCAACCTTGCCAGGAAAAGTTTTATTTCTTTGCTAGTGTACTTTTCATTAATATTATTGTTTATTTAAGCTAGGGAATTTCAACAACAGGATGCAATAATTGTCATTTGTTAAACATTAAAAGTGGAAAATAGTATAATATTTTAACAAAATTAAACTTTTAAGTGGCAAGTTGCAGAGATTTTGTTGAAAAGAAAAAGTAAAGAAAATGGGATATATAACGATTTAAGGGGTATTCTTAAATTCTAAAGGAATAGATTGATATATGTTTTTTTAATTGAGGATTAAAATGTAATTTTTGAAAATTTGAGAGGGCACGTGCCCCTCCTTGCCTTTATGTGGCTCCGCACTAGCCATGGGTGCTGCAGCCTGAATCTTAAATTCTGTTATTAACGTGTACGCTAATGCAATCCAATTTTGTAATTTGTGGGTTTTCAGCAGAACCATTTTTTGTCAACTAGCTTTTAACTTTTGCATCGAGGCTTATCTTCTACTCCCTTACTAATAGGTTTCTCGTTCTTTCAAAATATTGTTGCAGGAGTACATAGTAGAGGATTTACATGGCTGTTACGCCCCTCCAAAACTGGATCCGGAACACGAAGAGCGTCTGAAAATCTTAAGCATTCTTGTAGTGAGCACAACTGGATCTGGAACACAGAGCATCTGAAAATGCTTAAGCTGTTGTACTGAGCACTGAAGAGATGAAACATGATATCTGAAACTTGATACCGTGTATTTATTCACGAGGTGAGTTTGTTGTTTTGTTTATATAGAATGGATGTTTTATGATTTCATGTGTTAAATGTTCACCAGAGTGTGAACAGTTTAGCAAATTGAACTGAACAAAATATATTAGGGGGTTGTGAACAACTCACAATTTGTAGTCCAATATCTTTCGCATATTTTCATTGGATTCTTGGTCTTCTTGATCGGATTGTCAGATGGTTTATTTGTATATGGAGCATTTTGCCTAGTCATGGATTATGGATAGACTTGAGGACTAGCATTGGATTTAAAACCCTAGTTTACCTTGATTCTTGTGGCCTTTTCCAAATGGTTGGGTTTGTTTTTCTACTAGGATTGGTATCAATTTGATTCGGTTGGGATTAAGGAAAATTTAGTATTGAATTGAACACTTCAATTTTGTTGATTGACAAATCAAAACTGACCTTGGGTTAATTTAACTGAAAATTAGCTTTTTGAGTTTATTTTAATCTTTTGAGCTGAAAAAAAAAAATTTAATTAAATTCAAATTTGAAAAGGAAATAAATTGAAAGCCTAAACACCCTTTCTTTCTTCTCTTTTTTTTTTTTTCTCCTTAGAATTACACCCTTTCTTTTTGAAGTACAACTAAAAGCCACTGACAAAATCAACCTAGGTTAATCCGGTCCACGTGAGTAATTGCATATTAATAAGAAGTCAGGGCCTTTATTTATTTATTTTTTCAGAAAAGTTATAGCGTAGTTATATTAAAATAAAAGTTAACATACAGAATAACAAAAAAAGGAAAACAAAGCTTCAAAGATCAAACAAGAAATCCGAAAAATAAATTACTCGAGTCAATGGTTAAATCTCCTCAGCTTGCTGAAGTTTTCAACGTAAGAAAAAAAAAAAAGAAAAATAATATTTCAACAAGACAATTGAAAAATAATTGCCCTATATATGAAAATTGTTTAGATGGATAAGAAAAACTTTTGTGTCTAGTTGTGTTTCTAAATAATGATTCTACACTCCTATTCTAATATGATGTTTGGAACGAATTCTCAAATTACATTTTCACAACTCTGCAGAAAATTCTGCATGGGGTGCGTTTTCAATTTTTTTTTTTTTTTCATATTTGGCCTAACTGGTCGTCCCACTGAACGTCCTACCGGCTGGTTGATCGGAACAGTGTATTTTTTTTTTTTGGCAATTGACATATAATAGAATTTTGAGTTGTATATTTGGTTATGAATTGTAAGTTTTTGTATCAAATATCATATGTCACATCAAAAATTTCTCATTCAATTCAAAATTCTTTTCAAAACGCTTTTACTAAACAAATTTTCCACACTCAAAACATAATTTCAAAACTTACAAATTCAAAATACAACTCATACTCTCAAATCATATTTACAAAATTCTACTAAACACAACTTACAGTGTCACAAAAATGAATTTTTTTTTCACAGTCCAACTAATCTTTTTGCATTAAAAAATAAAAAAATAGTTCCAGTACCTTGCAATTAATTAATCAACTCATCTGATTTTGATTTTGAGATGTTGCCTTTTAGCCACTTTTTTGGTTTGCAGCAAAAATCAAAAGTTAATTTTTTTGTATTTTTTTTTTCATTTGAGAAGTTGATTTTTAATTATTGGTAAAATTATAATTCTACCTCTCATGGCTCAAAATGTGTTACATGTGTGAAATTATAAATATTTTAAATTAAATTGGGATAGTTTGGTTATTTATTGTGATTTGACATCATAAACAAATATTAATAAAAAAACCAAAAGTTATGTTTGGTTTGAGTTTGGGAGATGAGTCTTAGAAATAAAAAGTAGTACGAAAGTTGTTTGGTTTAGTTTTTTTCAAAAGATATTTTGAAAAATTATTTTGAAAGAGAGTTTTGAAAAAAGTGATTGATTTGATGTGTATGAGAGATAGATTTGTTTAGAAAACTTGTAAACCAAACAAGTTTTGAAAAAAATTTTTGAAAAAATTTGTTTGGTTTGATTACTTTTGAAAACTTATTTGTAGAGAATTTTTCCCAAAAATTTTAGAAAACACAAACCAAACAAGGCCTTTATCTTTTACCAACTTCCCAAATCATTTGTTTAAAAAACCTAAAAGTTGTTAAAAATCAAAAAATAACTTTTTACCATCTCAAAATAACTATGCAAAGCCAGCTGAGATTTCTTTTCTTTGCATTTTTTTAAATAACTTTTTTTTACTACAAATGATCAAACATATAGCATCTTACCAGGACAAGCATTTAATCCATGGAAAAAAGAATCAGATAATTAAAGGGCTCACTAAGAATGAAAGTACATACTATCACTTTAGACAGTTGACATTGTTAAATTTGATCAAGGAACGAGGGTTTCTTGTACTCTCGATAGAACAACAATCAATGCTTTTTGAAGCAAGCTATTTACTCTCTCTCTCTCTCTCTCTTTCTCTCTCTCTCACTCTCATCACTGTCTTCAATCAACCAATGCTGAAGTTCAAAACTAACAAAAAAAATCTCAGCAAACAGTAGGATGACCCATCACCATCTTTTGGTCCAGGACAAACCCACAACTTTACAATAAATCAGATTCAGCATTTCTTTTTGTATACCCAAAAACAAAAACAAAAAAACTGGGATTACCCATTACACCAATATTACCTCAAAGCCCCATCATCTTGAAGATTATATTCTTCCAATTCTCCATCACTAGCAAATTTAAGATGATCACCATCCCTAATCACCTGTATATCATCGATTTCCGCTCCATCTTTGGTTAGAACCTTAGTGGGAGAGAATCCAAATCTTTTAGCACCAATCTCAAGTAGTTCTTGCAAACTCTGTGGAAGCAGAACAAGCTTTCCCTTATCATCACCCTTCTCCGGCCAACTAACCGTCACTCTTGCTGGATAATCTTTTCCTGGCTCAGCACATTTTGTCTGATTTATAGATAAAAGCAAGGCATTGGGTCCACCACCACTGCCACCACCGCTGGCCGCTGACATGATCCCAAATAAGGAGTTATGAAAGTTGTTAGTTCTACGTCTCTGGCGAGATTGATTCCATGACCTGTCTCCTGTTGGGGACCCCACTGCACCTTCCCGGGGCATCATGGGACAGATTGTCGGTTCACTTGTAAATCTCCCCATCATAGGACGGATTGTCGGTTCACTTGTAAACCTCCCAAGGAACTGCATTTCACCCCGTGGTTCCAGGATTGGGACCGTGGTTTGCGTTTTGGCCTCCTTGGTGGATTGGAAAAGGACTTTTATGTCATCATGTCCTTGTTGGTCAGCTAGATCCCTAGGGGTCCATCCATGGCTGTTCATTTGGTCAATATCAGCTCCTTGGTCCAAAAGGAATTTGACTATATCGGTGTTTGCTTCACTAACCGCAACATGAAGTGCGGTATTAGATCTGTTGCTGTTGAGAAGCGTGACATCCCCTCCATGACTAACGATTTCCTTGAGCAAGTCTAAGTTGTTTTGCTCGGCGGCGGTGCAAGAAAATTGACCTACGTCGCCGGAAGATATGGTGGCACCATTATCCGTCAGTATCTTGACCACATGTTCATGATTAGCCATCATGGCCTCCCATAGCGGTACATTGCCATCTGAATCTGTACAGGTCATGTTGACATAGTTGACAGTTACATGTATATTTACTGAAGCTGTTTTCAATCACAATAATTATTTGTGCTTGGTCAAACAATCCCTAAAAATTGTTGTGGTACTTCTTTTGAAAAAGAACAAAATGATTCCACAGAACAGAGGCAATTTGACAATTCAGTTAAGAAGCACGGGCATGGACACGCTATGAAAAAGTCGACATGTAAATTTTTTAAAAAAATGTAAAACATGACACAAGGAAGAAACATGCAAAATATATAATTTTATATATTTATATGGCTCATAAAGATTGGCAATTATTATGTCATATGTATAAATCTTTAATTCAAAAATAACAATTTTTGAACTCTAATGAATGAGAGAGTATGTATAAATTCATGTCATTTTTCTTTTATAATTGGATTCTAAATTATTTTATTCTAATTTTCATGTGTGTGAAAGCGCTACACATTTGTTCCCACGTGTCTGATGCAAGTTTGAGTCTAGATTTTTTTTATTTTATAAAAGTAGCACATGTTTGCATATATGTGCGTCCAACAAGCTTTGTAAGTGTCCGATAAGTATCGTGTTGTATTGGTGTCAAGTACAACACACGATCATCTTAGTAGTGTCAGTGTTTCTTAGCAATTCAACATCACAAGTGATAACTATGGTTTTAAAAATAGTATCAAATGAAGGGAAAGTTCTTAAATATGACGAAGAAAGACTAAAATGAGAGTCCATGATGACAATATGGGGGAAGGTATTGTAGTTGAAAAATGGAAGAGATAGTGAACTTAAACAACGGCAAATTGGCAAAATGGGTGTCGGTCCATATAGGATAAGATTGATTAACTAATATAATTCAAATGCTTTGATCAGATATCTGAAATCTGAACCAAATAGGAAGAACAATAATTAAGAAAGTCAACAGGAATAGAAAGCTATTGATCTATACTTGAGGGAAAACACAATTAAAAATAAGGGTTGATTTCTACAATATTGATAGTATTTTATTAAGAAAATTATGGAGCGTGTAAAGGCCTTCCCGTTATGGTATACAAAATCTCTTGTGGATAAGAGTATAACAAGGTCAACTGTATAGATCTAAGAAAAATGTCACTAGATTGCGATACGAATCGTGCAATTACCAGCCAAAAAAGAAAAGAGCAAACTGAGATGCTTGATTTGGAAAGTAAAGTATATGACTGAACCAGATTTTAGTATTTTCAAAAAACAGATTATGAAAATAAAACCAAATAGAGTGAAAAAGAAGACAGTGGAGGATGTCAAACAGGATGACATATCACATGATGCAAGCGAAACACGTGTTTTACAACTACAACAATGTCAATTTGTATTACCAATAATTCAAACAAATAGTGATATACATTAAACCTATTTTTCTATGTTTGGTTTGGACGGGTGGGAATGGGCGGAGCATGGCACATGTCAATGTGTTTCTAATACTGGAAATTTCATCTCACATCATAACTTTCAGAGTGACAGAAAAGCCAAAGTTCCCATCCCTAAATATTTCAATACATCTGAATCATTGTTTATATATATTAAAAAGGGAAAATAATTTTTTGTTTGACAATAGTTGTTTTGAGTGCTAAACAAAGATATTTTGGGGCTGGCAATTGTTTAGAGCTTGAATAAAAACACAAAGATAATCAAACAATCAGAGTTTGCAATTGGATAATTGGCATGAGGATGTACACGTAGAAGATTTCCAATAATTGAAGAAGCATGGAGGGGGGCTCACATAATTGAAGAACCATATGTGATGGTGGAATCCCAAAATATTTTTTAGAGAAACAACACTGATGACCTAATTGAGTCTATGGGGAAAGAACTAAAGCAAAGAACAAGAAGTGCTACAAAGCAAAACAACCAAAAACAGGTTAATCACAATAACTGGCATGAAGGTCAAGAAAATACCTCTACTATTAGGGTTTGCTCCATAATCTAGTAGGAGAAGCACACAATTCTCGCATCCTTTAGATGCTGCTATGTGCTGATTTATCAGAAAACACATGAAAATTAGGATGAATGCATTTTTAGAAATTGATGTTGTAATAAAATGGAAAAAAAAAAGGGGGCGACATATACACACCAATGCTGTCCTCCCATTGTTGTCAGATTCATTTGGATCCAGACCCCGTTTCAACAATTGATGCAACAATAAGTCATCTCCCCTAAGTGCAGCAAAACATAGGCTGAGCGGTAGGTCCATTCTACCACGAGCAAGCATGTTCTCTGTCTCGAGCAAAACTTCCTCCATAATCGGGTCCTTCGCTTCTTTCAAATGCTGCCCCACCAAACAAAAGACAAGGAAAATAATTATTGCATATGACATTACAATTCTGTCTAAAGGTAAAATAATAAAGCATGTTTTTACACCAATGTATTCAACTGTCCCTGTACTGTATTTAACCAAACATGGGGAATCTATAAAGGTTTCAGATATGGAAAGGGAATGAAAAGCTGAAAAGCTAGGGTTTGTTCGGTTTGATTTTCGGACTTCTTGTTTTTCGTTTTTTTTAAGGAACTTTTTTCTTATTTTAACCAATATTTTTAACTCTTTAGATGCACCTACAAAGTAAAGTATATGCAAAACAATCTAGACAAAAAAAATCATTAAAGGCAAAAAAAATATGGAGTAAAGTATATGCAAAACAATCTAGACAAAAAAAATACGGAAACGTGCTTTTTTTTAAAAAAAATTTTCTCATCTTCAGCAAAAAAAAATTTTCCTTCTACTTTTTAGAACTAAAATGTAAAGAAAATTGACTAAAATACGAAAAAAAAAGTTCAATAACAAAAAAAAAAAATGCAATAAATAAATAAATAAATAAGTCAGAAAGAAATTTTGAAAAATAAAACCAAACAATATTGGAAGTTTTCATTAAATGTAACTTAGATAAATATAAAATCCTAATTCTATAAATAGGTTATGCTTTTACCAGTTTGATAAAAATCTGTAGGTGTATATCAGATTTACGAACCTGAAGGAGATTATTCATGATTATGGCTCCATCTCCAACATTGGCCTGGACAATGTTCATGAATGTGGTACGATTCATTCGTAGTAACTGGCTCAACCTTTTGGTCCGCACTGTAAAGAGCTGTGGCCTATAACAAAGCACACCAATCTCACCGCATAGATCACCAGTTGTAGCCTCTCCAATGACCTGCAATCAATTATTGTAATTTAAAATCAGCAGTTGCATTTTAACATGGAAATAGTGGAAAATTCTCAATTTCCAAGTATTCAATTGCTATCTACTACCAAGTAACAAAATTGATGTCGAGAGTTTTAGAATTGAGACTTGCCTGTTCAGCCCCATTTTTGAAGACACGCAAATCCTGTGAAAGTAATTAAACATTAGAAAAGAAATCATCATTAACAAATAGAATAAAAGAAAAAGAATGCCTCAATCCTATTTTTCAAAAGAAGAAAGTTCTATAATTACCACAGCTCCATTAACAAGTATGTAGAAGTCTGTCGGTGCTTCATTCTGTAAGATCACATCCTCTTTGGGAGGAAAATACTCGGCTTTCATCTCTGAAACCTTCAAAATTTACAAAGTACAAAACCCAAATTATGGACAAGTTCGAGTAAGACAATGGCAATCGTGACACTTTTAGTAAGTATTACCAGTTGAAAGAGCAAGTCATTGGACACCCCACGAAACAAGTACACCTTATCAACAAGAGAGTAGAAAAGAAAATGTGAAATGCTTGATCGGATGGCTTTTGGAAGGGAATCAAGAGTCTCCTTCTGCTGCAGCCCCTCCGAGTCTGTTCTGAACTTCAATGATAAGTGTGCAAGCATCTGATCTTGCAGGCGAGCAGGCAATTGGTTTCTTTGCGCAAAATTTGATGCCGCTTGAATGGTATCTCTCTGTTATCACATACATAAAACAAAATCATAACATTATGAATAAATAACCAAATGAGAATTCAAACAAAAGGAAAGAAAAAAACTGGGATATTCATTTATTGTCACGGGGCCATGTTTGGTGCAGCTTCTTGCCAATTGAAAGTCGATAATTAGAAAACAGAATTCCACTAATCAGCTTATTTAAGCTATTTCTGCCTCTTTAGCTATAAGAAGCTCCATAAGTTGCACCGAACACAGTTTTTATATACGCTGTTGAATTGAGATGATGAGGATTTACTCACAAATTCTCTAGTTTTACTAGTAGCATGGACAACTAAGTTGGTCATATTTCCTATCAAATATGCTGTGAGTCCAAGGTTGAAAAGCATGAAGAATATGTCAAAGATCATCTCCCTCGTATTCACAGGATGCAAATCACCATACCCAACAGTTGTGAGAGTAGTGATAGACCAGTAAATCGATGTCACATAGCGAATCCACAGGCTTTGGTGAAGGAAGTCATCCATGGATGCTCCGATCCATGTCCTACTTGGGTCATGATAACGTGCAGCAAGAAGATAATAGAAGCATGCAGCACAGTGAACCGCAAAAAGGGTGACCTATAAAAGATACAAGATCACTCATTACTCGGAAAACTCATTACCTCAATACACAATAACCCAATAAATCTCAAATATACATACACAAATAAGCTTCGCGCATCGAACCCAAAAGTAGTTGAATTTCCTATCTTTCTCCAATCTGATGGAATCAAGAAAAACGGGGATTGCAAATTAGAGACTTTCTTTGAAAATTACAAACTCCAAAATGGGAAATCAATGTACCTAGCAAATAGGGCGCTAACTCTTCGAAGACGCCAGAGACGGAGCATGTTGAATAAGCCAAATGATTGGAGAGGTGAAGGAGAAATCTTCCGAGCAAGTTCAGAAGGGATTGTGGATATGACATCAAAGACCAACCAAGTGCTTGCATATTTCCAAGCAATTTTCTTTCGATCATCAATGAGTAGGTAGGTAGCTTTATCGAGGTAAGCTACAAAGAATGTGAGAATGATATCAATGGCAAAGAATCCATTCACAACATTGTCAGCAATGGTGAGTGGCGTGTCGGGCTTTTCAAGGAAACCAAATTCGAATGGAGATACCCAAGCAGTGTAGAGGACCAGAACAACTAGAAATGTCTCCCATGCCCTATCAAAATTAGTTTAACTGAGATGATTTTAGCAAAAACAAAAACAAAGAGTATGTTCTTCTACTTAGAAGGATCAAAAAATTGTTGTGAAAAAAGCATGATTGTTAATTGATAGTTGTAGATTTTTAAACATGGTGTCCTCTTCAGTGATGTTCTTTCCAAATCATAATAATTTTCCATTAGAAGAATGAACAAGTCACAAACATAAATAATGAAAGAAAAATCAATCATATACACAATTTTCAAAGAAAGTCAACTAGAAAATTAGCAAGCACCCCAATTAGGAATGATTCTGGTATACTGGAGTCTCACTTTTTCCATGCAAATCTAAACCCATGTTCAAAGCCAAAACAAATAAATAAATAACACTTCAATTTAAGGTAACAAGATTGGGACTTAAATGATTCTTCAAAAAAACTTCAAGAACACTAGAATTTACAAGAAAATTATTTCATAAAATGATTACAAGATTCCAAGAAGAACAAAAACAAGATCAATATTTCCAAGATTCAATCTTGCTCTCTTCCACATACCCTCAAATACAAAAATCAGAATTTAAATTTATACAAAAAAAAAAACAAACAAACAAACAAACAAAACAAAACAAAACAAAACAAAACAAAAAGGATGGAGAAGAAAGAAAACAAAGTTAATAGTACATGAAATCGGCAGAAAAATGAATCAACATTGCTATGCAGAGAGAGAGAGAGAGAACCTGTAACGGTGATCATAAGGGGAGAGAATGAATCTATGAAGCTTAACACTGCGATTGCTGCGAGCACCAAGAGAAGGAAGAATCCCAGTAGTGAGACTGTAATGGCTTCCTTCTCTGGACAACTGCTCCATTTCTTGCCCTGCCCCACACATTGACACCCTAAACAACCCTCCTCCTCCTCTGTTACTCCGCATATTCTCTCTCCGAAGAAAACCCTTTTGAAGAGAGAGAGGAGAACCCAATTCAGAGAAGAGCCTTGCTTTGATACTTGTTTTCCGTTTTCTGTCTGCTCTGCTCTCTCCTCTCTGCTCTCTATGTATATACACGTATATATAGAGCGAGAGAGAAAGGTAGAGGATTTTTCGTGAGAGGATTATTGTAATGACTATTCTAAAATAAAAGGAAAAAAAATCTGGGGATTTTACCTTTCTATCAAATTTTTGATCATATATCTGTTATGGGTGTAGATCTCATATCTGTATAAGTTCTAAATATTTAGCTATTTATTTGACAGAAATATTAGTATCTTTAATATTACTCAAAATAAAAATTGAAGTAGCCAAAATAAGGCCCCGTTTGGGACTTACCTTTTTAGTCAAAAAGTCAAAAAATTATATTTTTAGCCAAAAAATCAATAACTCATACCAAAAAGTCAAAGATTCTCCTTTCTCTCTACTTTTTGCACATCTTTTCGTAATTAGCCAAAAAATCATCCCAAACATTTAAGTTTTTTTTACCTATTTTTTTAGCTAAATAGTCAAAAAATAACTAAATTAGCCTATTCTTAAACGAAAAAAAGCTCGTTATAGCATTTTTGCTTATTTTATATTTTTGTATTTTTTCTTTAAAAAAAAGTTTAATTTTTTAATTCGTCTCGTTGAATTAAATTTAGAAGTTTAAAGTTTTTCTAAAAAATCTCAAAAAAATTTCCTAAAAATAAAAATAAACTCCAAAAAAGAAAGTCACCAAATTACCAAATTGGATTTTAATATCTTGCTTGATTTCAATTTTCCAAATTCAATTTCTTTAAAATTGATTTTTCTGTTTTTCGTATTTTTTTTTGCTTTTAATAAATTTTTAAAAATATTTTAAGCAATTTTTTTTTTTTTTTTACTTTTTAAATGCGCCTAACATAGGTGTATCTCCAAATAAAATAATTGTCAATTTTTTAAAAAACAAATCAATAAACACACATGAATACGAAAATATAATAAATTCTTATATTTTTGGTATCTAGCGAATTTTTTAAAGATTTTTTTTACAAATATTATATTTTTAAATTGTATTTATATTAAATGTATCTAAAAACTAAAAAAAAATATTACAAAAATTCCTTGAAAATAAAAAAAAATAAAAAGCTTAATTTTTAAAAAATTAAATTTAAAAAATTAGAACCAAAAAATATTTTTGTTTTTTTAGGGACTATAATTCTTTATTGCGACTCAAAAAATATAATTCTTTACTGGGTGATGGAGAGTATAACGCTAGAAATATTTAACAATTATTTATTATGTCATTTAACTAGACATTAGTACTTTTTTGGGAAGCTGGTAAAAAGTCAGTTTTTAATTTTTTATCAATTTTAGATCATATCATCTCTTACATAACTTATTTATAAAATGACAAAATAAGTTAAAAAGCAAAAAAATTAACTTTTTACTAATTTCTCAAAACACCCCTAAATTACTTAGGGTTGGTTTGGGAAGTGGGTTGGCTTTTTGACTTTTTTAGCTATTTTAGCATGGGCTAAAAAGCTTAGTTTGAGAATGACTTTTTGACTTTTTTTACTTTTTTGTGAGAGAAGAGTGTAATGATTATGGATTGGATGTGATGTTTTGTCTTTTGTGACTAAAATAACTTATTTTGTCTTTTGTGACTAAAATAACCAAAAAAATCCCATATTCTTCTTTCCAAACGGTGCCTTAAGGCTATGACAAGTGAAGAAAAAAAGACTAGAGAGAGGAAGAAAGAGCAAAGGAAAGAGGACGAAGGTCTCTGTATAAGTGGGTTATTAATTAGTGTACTCCCCGAGCATGGTGGAGAGCATTAAAAGTGGTGCTCTAATAGCATTATTAATGATGTGGCAATGAGTTTTGTTTTTTTTTTTTTTTGACATTCTCAATGCATTAGTACTATTAATGATTTTTTTTTTAGTGGTATGAATCATTGTTGATTTACTAATATATGTTACGATATTATTATTGATTTCACTCATTATATAAGTTATAAATATTTAAAATTTTTAAAATTATGTCACACCATCTGTTAATATACTAATTGATATACTTATATAGAATTAAAGTAATACTAGAGATCCTAAAAATTCTATCAAAATTTTATCAAATATGTCACATGGGTGTGGAATTGAATCGCATGTGGGTCCTACACCAATATGAAACATTTAATAAAAATTTAGCATTTTTATAGTATTATTCACATATATTTGATGAAGGGCCAAATAGATTGACGCGTCACTCTTTGATTTGATGTCCATAAATCTTTAGTTCACGGGACAGCCGTGTGGAAGTTAGGGGTTGTTTGGGGTGTCCTAAATAAGTGTACTTTTGTCTTTTTAGACTAAAAAATTGAGGTTGAAAATATAGATGTTTGGGTTAACTTTTTGACTTTTTTTAGAAAAATGTGTAATAAAAAATTATAAAAATTGATTTATAGGGAAAAATTTGAATTGGGAGTTGTGCAGCCGTAATTATTGACTTTTAGTGAATAATATTAACTTTTTAACTTTTTGAATAATTTTTTAACTTTTTAACTTTTTTACAAGTTCTCAAACTTGGCCTTAATCTTTATTTACCATCTTTCTCTTAGTTATGATGGCCATATACATCAAATAAACCACTACAAAAATAACTACTATTTTTTTTGTGATTGATTCTTCCTCTTTGACATTTGTAGAATTATTGTTTGAGAAGAGGTAGCCTGGTATTGTTTTTTTCAGTGATTTTTTAATTTTTTTAAATATTAAAAAAAGCAATGTATTTAAAAAGTTGTCAACAAAAAAATATTTTTTGAGTGAAAAGATTGATTTGTTTTTTGACTTTTTTTTAATTAATTTAATTTTTAATTTTTAGTTAACCAAAAAATAACTTTTTTAAGTTTCTGTTTTTTTTTTCAATTGTATAGGAGTAGGGCTACAAACGAACCGAGCCAAGCGGAGCTTCGCTGAGCTCGAGCTCAGCGAGTTTACTTATCGAGTTTGTTTATTAAGCTCAAGCTTAGCTCAATAAGGAACTGGGTTCGAACTCGGCTCGGCTCGTTAATTTTAATGAAACTCGAGCTCGGCTCGGCTCGATAATTTTTTTTAATATTATTTAAATATAAATATTTAAATAAAAAATATTATTTATATTATTTAATATATAAAAAATGTATTTATATTATTATGAGCCGAGCCGAGCCGAGCCGAGCCGAGCCGAGCCGAGCCGAGCCGAGCCGAGCCGAGCCGAGCCGAGCCGAGCCGAGCCGAGCCGAGCCGAGCCGAGCCGAGCCGAGCCGAGCCGAGCCGAATCGAGCCGAGCCGAGCCGAGCCCTTAACGAGCCGAGCCGAGCCGAGCCGAGCTTGTTCATGAACAGTTCGGTTCACTTGCAGCCCTATATAGGAGGAAAAGGAATAATGAATTCATAACTTCCTAATAAGATACACAACTTTTACATGGTAAAAAGTCAATTTTTTTACTTTTTAACCTTTTTTATTCAAAAAAATCATAAAACAGCTAACTTTTTTAGCGTAAAAAAAAATCAAAAAGTTATCTTTTTACCAACTTTTTAAAACACCACTAAATTAATCCCAATAATTTTGAAATGTGTTTTAAGCATATGCTTTATTTTTGTTTTCCTTTTTTTAATACAAGGAGTAATCAAATTCCCGACTTCATAAAATTATATATATATTTTAATTTCTTTTAAGAAAAATTAATGTAATTATATCAAAATTATAAAACTACTTATATTATTTCCAATTAGCCTAATTATATCAAAATTATAAAACTACTTATATTATTTCCAATTAGCCTAATTTATCCTAATGTTTTACACTTTTCAAAATATTTTTTTTATTACATTCTCGACATTAACTGGTGACTTAAGAACATTTATTAACATTTGCTAAAAAAAAATAAAAAAAAATTGAAGTGTAGATTGACTTTTAGTGTTGGGATATTTTTTTGAAAAATGCTATGAACTCCAAACGAATTATTTTTTTTTACCAAACTTCTCATATATGTATGAGATCTACACAAATCACATGTGTGTGAGTCCTATACCCGTACGAGAGATTTGATAGAAAATTTGATAATTTATTTGGAATCCCCAACATAACTCTATTATTATTTTTTATTAATTTTTTTTTTTTCTAGAAATAACCAAACTCATTTAAGAGGGAGTGGAAAAAATAAGGTAGAGTGAACTCATGAGGGAAGACTTCCCATACCTAGGGATGACAATTTGAAACCGACCCGATGGGGATCCCAGGCCCTGACCCCGATTTGAGTAGTTTTTTCCCGAAAAATACCCCCGACGGAGAAAAGACAGTATTTGAAAATCAATTCCCGATCTGTTTCAGGCCGGGGCTGGGGATCAGTGTTCAAGGCCCGGCTCAACCCCATTCTCGAATTTCCCCGAAGTAAAATTACTTTTATACCCCTTATATATATACATATACACAATAAACCAAACCCTACCTCACACACAATACAAATCGTGGTCTCTCATCTCTCTCTTCCTTCATCGCCGTCCTCTACTCCTCTCTTTTCTCCCTACCCATCTCTAATTCCTACTATCATCGATCGAAGCACCATCTCTCTCTCTCTCTCTCTCTTTCGTTCTTCTTCCTCTACCCCAAATCTGAGCAGCGATGAAACAGATTTGCTGCTGCCATAATGATCACACCGCTGTCATCTTTTGGTCTGGCATTTGTGTTTGTTTTTGATCTCATCTCTGAACTCTTAGCCATGGCTTCTTCGTGGGTGGCGAAAGCGGCTTCTCAAGTCGTAACTGTTGCTCGGCTCTTCTCTCCAACGTAATATATATACATATATACACACTGGTTGTTGTTGATGTTGAGGATGATTGTTGATGAAACGGATTTTTTATTGTTGAAACATAATTTTTTTTGTTCTGGTTTTAAATTTTCTATAGATCTATGATGATGATGATGAGAAATACTAAAAATAGATTCAATTTTCTACAGATCTTGTAGTTGTTGTTGTTGATGTTGATGAGATGAAATTGATTTTTTTTTTTGGCCGGGGAATTTGCGAGGTCGGGGAAACCCGATCCTCGTTAAAAGGCGAGGACGGTGATAGGG